GCTGGCTAGCTAGCTAGCTAGCTGGCTAGCAAGCTATCTGGCTAGCTGTCTAGCTGGCCAGCTAGCTGTTTATTTATTTTCCACCTGGCTAGCTCGCCAGCTAGCGTGTTAGCTAGCTAGCCAGCTAGCTATCTGATGATCTATCTGGCTAGCTAGCTAGCTGTTTATTTATTTGCCAGCTAGCTAGCTAGCTACCTCGCTAGTTACAAACAGAATCCGAGGCTGCTGGGGGAATCCCTAGAAATCAAGTAAGACTGTTTTTCCACTTAGGAATGCGTCTACAGCTCCAACTACGCAGCTGAGGCCCTTGCTGCTGCTGCTGCTGCAGCACGCAGCGACAGCTGCAGCAGCAGCAGCAACAGCAGCCATTGCTGCAGAAGGCTCTGCAGGGTTCTGGCCGCGGCTCCTCCGTGTGGAGAAGGAAGCAAAGAGCTGCTGCCTTGCACGCTCACTTTCGCAGCAGCAGCAGTAGCAGCAGCCCAGTGCTGCTGCTGCTGCTGCTGCTGCTTCCACCTGAGTCCCTGCTGCTCACTTGCGCTTTTCCGGCTGCCGCACAAATGCCCAGCTGACAGCAACTTTCTGTCCGAGCAGCTCCTGGCCGTCCATTCCTGCGCAGCAGCGGCCCCACACACGCCGCCGCTCCTGCTGCTGCTGCTGCTGCTGCTGCTGCTGCTGCTGCTGCGTGCAGCTTCCCGCGCACGCCGCGGCACCGCGCGTCGCCGCGGCGGCCCGCGGCGCAGCAGCAGCAGCTGAGCTTTTAATTAATTTATTGACTTATTTATTTATTTAATTTAATTAATTAATTTAATTAATTAATTGAAAGCCCACCCTCTATTGCTGCCTGCGCCTCGTCGTAAGTCTCATACTCCACAAAGGCGTAGCCCTTCACAAAGCCAGACCGCCGGTCCAAATTCATGTGCAAATTCTTTATGGCCCCTAAGCAGCAGCAGCAGCAGCAGCAGCAGCAGCAGCATTGGAATTGCAGCAGCAGCAGGAGTGGCAGCAGCGGCAGGAGCAGCAGCAGCACTGGAGCTGCAGCAGCAGCAGGAGTCGCAGCAGCGGTAGCAGCAGCGGCAGTACAGGAGTGGCTGCAGCAGCAGGAGTTGCAGCAGCAGCAGCCGCAGCATGAGCAGCACCTGCGGCAGCAGCTGTAAAAGCAGCAGTTGAGCAGCAGTAGCGGCAGGAGTAGCCAAAGCAGCAGGAGTAGGAGCAGCAAAAGAAGCAACAGAAGCAGCAGCAGCAGCAGCGGCCCCAGCGCCCTAAACCCTAAACCCTAGAACGCAGTCTACTGCTGCAGCAACCAGCAGCTGTTAAAGCAGCACTGAAGTGAGGGTTTAGGGTTTGGCCAGCGCAGAAGCTAGGCGCCCTCTGGGCTTAGGGCTTAGGGCTTAGGGTTTAGGGTTTAGGGTTTAGGGTTTAGGGTTTAGGGTTTAGGGTTTAGGGTTTACCGAAGGCGTCGAAGGCTTCGTGAATGTCTTCTTCCTGGGCCTCCTCGTGGATGTTTGTAGCCACCACAATCCAGCCCTCAACAGCTGCAGCAGCAGCAGACGCAGGTGCAGCAAAAGCAGGTGCAGCAGCAGCAGCAGCACGAGCAGCAGCAGCAGCACCAGCAGCTCAGTCGGGCCGCACGGCCTGCGGCGACACCAGCCGCGGACGTACACCCGCAGCCGCAGCAGCAGGCTCAGTTGCTGCCACAGCAGCAGCAGCAGCAGCAGCAGCAGCAGTCCCATCAGCAGGCGCCCAAGCAGCCGCAACCCCTGCAGCAGCAGCAGCAGCTCCAGCAGCAGCCGACGCCGCTGTCCGCACAGCCCTCCGCCGCCGTGCCTGCCGTTCCCCCAGCAGCCACAGCAGCAGCAGCAGCAGCAGCAGCAGCTGGGGTGTACGTACACCTGGCGGGCGCGGGCCCCTTGTCTTTGCCCCTCCGTTTGCCTTCTGCTGTCTCTTCGAGCCTTTCGAAAACTCCGCCCTGGCCGGCATATCGATCGTCTCTGCTGCTGACGCCTTCGCGCATGCCGCGGCCCTGCAGCAGCAGCAGCAGCAGCAGCAGCAGCAGCAGCAGCGGCAGCGGCAGCGGCAGCGGCGGGGCGGTGGGGGCAGCGGCAGCAGCGGGGGAGCAGCTGACAGTGAGGGACGCAGGGGGGCAGCAGCAGCAGCGGCTGAGGAAGCAGCAGCAGCAGCAGCAGCGGCAGGGAAACGACAGCAGCAGCAGCTGCTGCTGCTGCTGCGCTAAACCCTAAACACTAAACCCTAAACCCTTAAGCTTCGAGGGTCCACGCGGCCCACCTTCTGTCGCAACCCTCTGGAGAGGGAGGCAGAGCGGCGATCTTCTGCTTCTGCCATTTCTGCTGCTGCTGCTGCTGCTGCTGTTCGTCTCGCTGCTGCTGCTGCTGCTGCTGGTACCGCTGCTCCTGCAGCGATTCTTCCCTGCCTGCAGTTGTTGCCGCTGCAGTCTGTCCCTGGTTTCTATATTTGTGGCGAAGCACGGAATGAGGGTTTAGGGTTTAGGGTTGAGGGTTTAGGGTTTAGGGCTTAGGGGAGGCCGACGGCTGGGGCCCCCCGCGGAAGCCCTTGAAGGCAGTAAAGAGCGAGATGAACCTAAAACCACTTTTTAGGGTTTAGGGTTTTGCGCTTTAGCTATTGGTGTTTAGCTTTTGAAGGTTTAGTCAAGGGTTTAGTGTCGCAGTAGTGTGCTGCTGCTCCGTGCATGCAGCAGCAGCAGCAGCCTCGAACGCTGCGCTGCAGCAGCAGGGGCCTCGGATTTGGCAGCAG